TCTTGCCATGGTTTTCTTTAATTTGAACTCCATTTCTTGAGGTGAAATTTACCCCTGTGCAGAAGGCCTGTGTCTATCTTGAGATCAAAATCACACCATCGTGCATTTTACCCTTTGATACTCAGGATACTGGCCTTTCCCTTCTATGAATTAAAGCTATGAGATGGTTTTAATATCAATTTTTAATTCCTTATCCGTCAACAAACTTTCAGAACCCTCCAACTTTTCGGAAGCACCAATATATTGGAGTAAAAAGGAAAGCAGAATCTGCTATTCCTGTTCGAATGTCATCATCAGTCTGGGTGAAGTTGAAAGGACTGCAAGTGAAGTAACAATATAATATTAATCATCAGGAGCTGTTATTATTGTCAGTATTTGCCTTATAGCAGCAACCAACTGAGATTAGGACCTTTTGTGTTGGATGCTGTGGGGAAAAAAAGACAAGGCCTGTTCTGGCAGGTTTGCAATCTAAAGAATAATCTAAAAAACCCAAAACAATAAAAGTGCTTTAAATGATAGCTCCAAGGCAAAAAGCTGTATTATTTATATTAACTTAATACTTATCATTGTATATGCATCTTAGGGCCATCACATTTACCACAGTGGCTCAGACCATTGGTCTATTAAGTCTCGTATCTGGCACTGACCAATAGCTGGTGCCTCAAAGGAAGGAGAAACCTCATAATGTCCCATGTGCAACTCTGTACATGGGATGTAAACAGGAATATTCCATTTCTGGCTTCACTGAGGAACCAGCTCTTTCCCTAAAATGTGACATGTAATTACCTTTATCTTGGTCTGCACAACTGCAAATGTGGTTGATCATAATTAGTAAGCCATAGTACTTGACTTGAAGAAAAGGAGTACTTGTGGCACCTTAGAGACTAACCAATTTATTTGAGCATGAGCTTTCGTGAGCTACAGCTCACTTCATCAGATGTTTACCGTGGAAACTGCAGCAGACTTTATATACACACAGAGAATATGAAACAAATAAATTGGTTAGTCTCTAAGGTGCCACAAGTACTCCTTTTCTTTTTGCGAATACAGACTAACACGGCTGTTCCTCTGAAACCAGTACTTGACTTGGTGACCGCTTGTAGCAGTGAATTCTGCAGAAACAGTGTATCCTTTTTCAGTTTTAAATGTGATTACCATTAATTCAGTTGAATTATTCCTTTTAAAAAAAATCACAGGACAGTATAAAAATGAGATACTAGCCAGTATTTTGTTTAACTCTTCCTAATCTTAACCTCTTTAATGCTTCTCCTTTTGAGGTAAAGTAAGCCACCTTTCATAATATCACTGTATGTATTGTAAGTCCTGCCACTGCTTTTGCTGCTGTCTTAACCGTTTTTCACTGTCAGCTGCATTTTTAGGTGAGAGGACCAGGGTAGAAAAGCAACTTCTCATTTTTGTTGTGTCTCAGATCCTCTCAGCTTTATTGCTCTTGACCATATCGGTCCTGCTCATGTAATACTCTTATCAGCAAGTTCATACGCTAGGGTGACTTTCTGATATTTTTACAGGAGTTACAGTGTGGCATCATTTTAAGCAGACTGTCCATTTAAAAATGAATGGCATGATATAGGATACTAGTTTTTCTAATGTATTTCTTTTTTCAATTCAATGTTGTTTCAAAGCACTACAAATACAGATTTCCAGATAGTGACTCCAGCACACTGCTAATATGGGGCTGCTATCTACCCTTCCTACGCAGAAAGGTGGGAATTGGTGGGAAGAGGCATGGACTGGGCAAAAAGCCTTGTTCAGTGCATTGTGCAACAGTCAAGCATTTCTGCACCCGCATGCCAGAGGATATACTACCCTGGGTATAGACCTGTGATGAAATCCTGATCCTATTGAAATCAGTGGGAGTTGTGCCATTGACTAAAACGGGGTGCCTCTGATGTAGTGTACTAAGCAAGGGGTAGGTAGCAGAGAGGCAGACTGTGGCTCTTGCTACAGCACAACAACCTGCTGTCCTTTGCTCAGGTCTTATGGCAAAGCCGCCATTTAGACTAAAATAATGAATCCTAAAGAAATGGACTAAATTACAGTCTGTGATAGGAACACACTTTGGTCTCAGAGGAGTGGCACAACCATTTTGCTGCTTTAGTAGAACAGGCTGCAGTATACCCTCCAATAATTATCATGCTTTCCAGTTGCAAACATGCTGTTTAAATTTGTAATCATTGCTCTAAAGACAGTGCACAAGAAGAGTGGAATTCTATTTAATCTGCAAAGAATTTTCTGGTACTTAATGCCACCAGAATGTCAGAAGAGTTAATGGCAGATGTGGTTGTGAAAATGTTCTGTATTTTTAGACAACCTTTAATTAAGACACTTTGTATGTAGCAGCAACCAAATAATATGCTGCCACTTGAAAGCTGTCAGAAGGGGAAAAAAGTCTACAAAGCTTCAAAATGCAGCCCTCTTTATTTTTATCTGAAAGTGAATTAGGAAACCTTACAGTGACAATAACTGTCCTTTCACAGGTTTCAGAGTAACAGCCGTGTTAGTCTGTATTTGCAAAAAGAAAAGGAGTACTTGTGGCACCTTAGAGACTAACCAATTTATTTGAGTATAAGCTTTCGTGAGTTACAATTTGTAAACAAATTGGGCATTTTAATAGATTTGTACTTAACTTCTTTCTGTTAATTTTGTTTAATGTCTTCATTTTAACAAGATTACATCCAAAAGTTGAAGTGGTGCTGTGATTTCATCCTTTTCCTTTAAGACTGAGTGCTTTATATAATTATTTTAGTACAGCAGATTCCCCACCCCAACCTTTTTAATGAGTGAATAAGCCTCTCACAGTTTATTTTAGGGATGAACTGAAAGGAAGTGGAATTTATACTTCTCAATTCAGTTTTGAACTTGAAGCTGTCATTGGTAATAGATCATCTATTCACCCCAAAAAGTTAAAAGATGCTAATATGATACAGAAGACTGTAATACAGCATAAATTGCTGATTTTGGTATAGTAGAGTTGTGGCATTTAACATATTAAATTTTGATGAAAATATTAAGGTTTCAGTGGACCAACATATACAAAGTGGAGAACAGTGGAAACATTATTTTGACAGTTCTGCAATATCGACACACTATTACTGTGACAAACACACAGTAGCTACCAATTAGACTATTAGTTGGCCCATGTATAATAAGCATACACAGAACTATCTAGCTAGTATGATTATGTGCGCATTTATGCTGGAAAGGAAACCGCTTACCTTCCTAGGCTGCCATTTATGTTAAGTGTCAGGAATCACTTGGTCAGTCAAGCATTGCTACATCACTAGTTACTCAGGCTGGCAGTATGTAAGAGAAGGAAAAATACCTGCCAAATTATTGTTCAGGAACTGATCTTTAACTAAACATTAAGAATTCCAACATCATCACTGTGAGTCCTAAATGCACAGGTTAAGGGCCTGATTCTGGTTTAATTTATAACAATGTGTGTGTTTATTAGGAATAACTCCATTGACACCAATGGAATTATACTTGTATAAAACCAGCGTAAGATAAATCAGAATTGGGCCCTAACAGCAATTTTCACCTCTCCCAGTGCACTGTCGGCTCTTGTGTTCCAATGAAGGCTCAGGTGAGTTGAAGTGCCAGCAGGTGTGTCTAATTTATGTTTTATGTTGAATATTTTTTTCAATTCCTTTTTGGTTTGTCCCTAGTTTTACATGTGGTGGTGTTTGTTGTTGGTATGTGCCTTGATATTCTCGTTTGCAGGAACATGATGCCAGCAATAGTACAGGGGCTCAGACGTACCCCCACAGCTGGAAGGCTGATCAGAATGTTTTCACCAGTCTGCATTAATGTACAGTACTTGCTTTCTGTTGTGTAGATTTTCCAAGCTCATATGTAGAGTTGACCATTTATGTAAAGCTTCACCTTCCACTGAAATTATTAGGAAGTTGTGGGCCAGGACATAAGTGAATATTTATCCTCAACTGTTTATTTTCTTGGATTGCCAGATTCTGGCTGTACTAGATCCTGATCAAAAGTTCATTAAAATTGATGGAAGGACTCCCATAGGTTTCAATGGAGTTTGGGTAAAGCCCCTAATGTGCTATTTGATGGAAGGACCAGTTCTGTCTCTCTGACCTCACATTGTGTGTTAGGGTGACCAGACAGCAAATGTGAAAAATCGGGATGGGGAGGGGGGTAATAGGAGCCTATATAAGAAAGACCCAAAAATCGGGACTGTCCGTATAAAATCATAACATCTGGTCACCGTATTTTGGGTGTGGGTGTGTGTGAGTGACAGCCATTTATATACCCTTAGGTGTATGGTAAGAAGGCTACAAGGTGAGGATAGGTTTTACAGAATGTACAGTTGCATTGTCCCTTGTAAGTTGGTATGCTTTTTTTTAAAATAAGAAATAAGGGAAACATTTCTCATTCAAAAACTCTTTCTGCAATTCAGCAACTTAATACATATCTCAAAAGTCTAATTTTTTTAAATTATACGTCTAAAATATAGGAGAGCCAGGGCAAGCTATCAGACCATCTGGGTACCCATAAGTATCCCCTGCTGGTGTGCTAGAAATTAGAGGAGGAAGGAAATAGAGGACCAAATCTTCGATGAACATCTTGAAATACTTCTAACACTCTTGGGAATGAGGTCACATTTTCTCAAACTCAGTATCTGTAAATACTTAGGGCCAGATTCTGATTCCCTAGCTCATCTTGAGTAGTACTTTACTCTGCTAATAGTCCCACTGAAATCACTTGGAAGCTGTGAGTCATAGAAATATGGTCCCCAGACACAATGCTTCAGGCAATGATACATTAGGGTCAGAAATCAATGGGATGACTGGCAGTGTGGGTGATACACAACATGCACAAGGGCACAAGAATCTGGCCTTGAAATACTGTTTTCTGGAGACTGCAGTTTTGTAGCTAACTGCATTCAAATGGCTACTCTTTTAGAGGCAGATCAGGTAGGCAAAGTGCTCAGGCTGTCTTTGGAAATGGGGACGTACCAAAAATCAGAGGTACTTCAATTCACTGAACTCATATCACCGAACTCCATTCTGTAAAAAGAACAGAGAATATAAATGGTAGGCAAGATTCTGAAATGACAAAAAAGGGAACAAAGAGACACTGTCATTTATGCTTGATGAAGGTAATTATAGAGCTGTCAGTATGTTGGCTTGTGAGTGAATTATGTTGGATTGATATTATATCCTTCTCTTTAGTTTCTTACAAATTTAAATACAGTGGGCCGGACTCTGATCTCTGTTACTCTGATATAACTGAGTTTAGACACTGACCAGTTAATCTACCCAACACGGCAAGGGCAGTTTTCCTTCACATGGTATCCTGCACCATGCCAATGCCACAGAAAGGCAGGGCAGCTGGTTGCACAGTGAATCACGGCCCTTGCAGCCAGGGGACATAATCAATCAAATAGCTTCTTGTAGGGTCGTATTTGCTTCAACATGCCCTGACTATGCATTACCAAGTCAGAGATGCTGAAACTCAGCTCTTTGCTAGCGAATAGCTATTGGGAGATGGAAGGAGGTGGCTGTGACGGCTTGGACTCTCCTTTTGGGGTGCCACTGGATGTACTGGGGTCCCACTGACTGGGTTTCCCTTACTCTGTGCAGCTGTCACAGCCTCTCCAGCACACACACACACAAGTAGGGACACACCCAGCTGTGGAATCACACAGAGTCTGTGATTAGCTCTCTATAGGAGGACTTAGCTAGGGGATTGCCCAGCACTCCTCTGGAGTGTAAACCCAAAATTATATTGTGTTGTGCTGTATAGAGATCTATATAGTATAAGCTCATAAAAATTGCCCTCTCCCTCAACGTGGAGGAAGATATGCACAGCTCTCTTTCCCCCCCCCCCCCCCAATTATGAATTGCACAAATTGGGTTTTGGAATAAACAAAAAATAAGTTTATTAACTACAAAAGGTAAATTTTAAGTGATTATAAGGGATAGTAAACAGAGCAAAGCAGATTACCAAGCAAATAAAACAACACGTGCAACCTAGGCTTAATTCCCTAAAGAAACAGGTTACAAATAGTAATTTCTCACCTTAAATGTTGTTTTAGGCAGGTTGCAGAGTTTGTGCAGCTTAGCGTTCCAGTTATTTGTCTTTACAGGCTAGACCCCTGTCTCAGCCTGCACTCAGTCCTTGCCTTACCCCAGTTTAGTTCCTTTGTTTCTTCAGGTGTTTTCAGCAGTCTTCCTTCTTTGGGCAGGGAGGCAATGGAGAAGAGCTCAGATTAACTCACTTCCCAGACTTAAATAGGATTTACGTAATGCAGGAATCCTTTGTTTCCAGTGGAAAAATACCAGCAGTGTCCAAGGTGGTATTCTGTACCAGGTGACATCATCACATGACCTTATAGTGTCAGAGCAACCATGAAACAAGGTTTATTTGTAATATCCACAGGAAGGGATGCCAGGAAGATGGGCGATCAGCATTTTCAAAGACCCATTTTCTTTCCTAATGGCTCATCCAGGCTGATTATATACTGTCTGGCGTGCGTTTCCCAGGTGTAACCAGTTGTAATTGTTACATAATCAGCATTCCCAACCTCAGATACAGAAATGATACATGTATACAAATAGGATAATCTTATTCAGTAAAACATAACCTTTCCACTGATACGTCACATGACACATCTTGCATAAAACATTTTAGTTATATTCATATCATAACAATATTTCTATGAATAATATGGGGTGTAGCATCACAGTGGCATAAAATGGGAGATGCGGAGTTAAAAATGTGGAATGGTGCTTATGTCTTCTTCAATTTCATCTAAAAATTACTTTTAAATGTTGATAGCAATCATGAAAAGGAGTACATTATTTTCTATACTGTATGTCCGGTGCATACAATATCACTAAATTCCCACTCTTCTGCTCAGCTACCTTTCTATTAGCCTGAGTATCAGGATGCATTTTCTGACAGATCCCTTAGCCTTCTCCCAAGGGAATCATTGAAAGCCCCATGGATTGGCACCAATGATGCAAGTAGGCATAGGCGCTGACCTCCCCTTTGCCCGGTGGATGCTCCGCCACCCTTGCCCCGCCCCTATCCCACCCCTTCCCCAAAGTCCCCGCCCCTGCCCTGCCTTTTCTCTGCCTCCTCCCCTGAGCACGCCGCATCCCCGCTCCTCTTGCTCCCTCCTGGAAAGTCCAAAGTGCCGCCAAACAGCTGTTGTGCGGTGGGAAGCGCTGGGAGGTAGGCGGAGGAATGGAGACGTGATGTGCTGGGGCGAGGAGGAGGGGGTGGGGAGAGCTTGGCTGCCGGCGGGTGCTAAGCACCCGCTAATTTTTCCCCATGGGTCCTTCAGCCCCGGAGCACCCATGGAGTCAGCACCTATGCAAGTAGGGGGGGTCAGGCAGGTACACTGTACCAGTAAGCTATTTATAGCTGGTATGGCGTAATGGAAAGACACAGGAGGAGCAGCTCCTCTGGCATGGCTGTACTGCCCCCAACCCTTCCAGGCAGCTGCATGCTTGCGTCTCCTGTCTGGAGTCTGTAAAGCAGTCCCACCGGAGGGCAGAGCTGGGAACAGAGCTCAGGGCAGTACAGCTGCACTGGAAAAGCTGCTGGCAGGGGCTGCCTGCGCGGTCCCACCTTCTGCTCCTTTGCAGGGCTCTCCTGGGAACTGTGGTGGTGAAAGGAGCAGAAGCCCACATCGTCAGCTCCTCTAGCACAGCTGTATCGCTCCCAACCCTGTCTCCAGTGGGGCTGCTGTAAAGACCCCCACCCTGGACAGGACTCAGGAGCGCGGAAGGGCCGGGGGCTGTACAGCCATGCAGGAGGAGCTACCGGCGGGAGGCTTGGTTGCCAGTGTCTGGAAAAAAAATATTCTCTGCTGTCAGAGGGAGCTGGTTTGAAGCTCTTCCGCTGGCAATTCCCAAAGCAGGTGTGACTGTGAACTAGCTATTGTTCTTGAGAGCAGGCCCTCCTCGTCTCTTAGCAGCCCACCAGCAGCTGTGCAGTGTCCACCCACTGGGAGTGCTTTCCCCCCCCCCAACCCCCAGGTAACATGGGATGGATCATGGGGAGGTGAGGGGGAGAGCGCGGGCCCCAGGCTGGGGGCAGGGAGGGGTTACGTGGGGGCTCACATGGGGAGGTCACGTGCGTCGTCCCCCCCCTTAGCTGGTGCAGCATATCAGTAAGAAATGAATTCTACTTCACCACTCGTTCGCACATTTAAAACTGGAAAAATGCTAATAAATTTATAATAGAAAACAAGTCTGCAGCAAATGGGGGAAACTCCAAAAGGGTTTTTTGTCACCTCAAGGATCTATGACTCAGTATACAAATGATTTGCATGACTTTGAAGCCTTTATATGGAATACAGGATATCTCTGAGGCTTTTCCAGTAGCAATGCCATCCTACGTATTCTTTATTCTTAGGTTTAGGGCTCTGAACCAGAAAGAGATATCATGCAGCTATTCTGCCAGGAGACTACATTATAGCAACAGGGAGTCATAGGCCCTTACAGGGAAACATTAACTCTGCAGTAAGGCTATGTGGTCTTCACTTGCAATGGTACTGGGGGCGATGATATTCGGACTTAAGGGAGAGATGATAGCAGGTGGCAGCATATGAGAAGGTAAGTTAAAAGCACTAAGCACTTGCTTCACTAAATCAGTAGCACACATTTTCTTAAGTACCCAGTATCAGATAATTTCAATGACTAATTTCAGTTTAGAGGCTTCAGTCCTATACTGCATGTAGTTTGTCATTTGCAATATGTCCATAGATACTGATTGTGTAATCAATAAATTCCTGCACAGTACCAGTAACTTGCTCAGAGATACAAAGTCTCTGTACATCATGAATGAGAACCTTGAATTCAGAATGTCAACTTGATAGACACTTTATTCTAGTGTATGCTATACATTGTAATTAAATGGTCTAGAATTGATTGATAATGTTCTGAACTGCTTTCCATTGTGTCTTCGCAGCTGCCAGATGGTGTGGAGCAAAGTACTATTTATACTACATTATAGGCTTCTCTGTTTAATATACTATAGTGGTTAAAAATCATTACTGAATTTTGAACCCTTTATTTTATGAAATCTTACCCTTTTGATCTCTGCATCTCCCATTGAAATCTTTGTGAGACTTTCCACAGAAGCTAGGTTGGATTCAAGCTGCATTCAAAAATGTTTCACTGCATGACTTGCAGACGTGGCCAGAGGTTCTCTGAACATTGCTTTTGGCTTATAAGTTAATAAGATGATGCCTTTCCTTTGTAAATCCATTTATATGAAATATTACTGCTTTTGAAATATAAAACTGATTTTGTTTTCAACAGGGGACACCAGTGTTATGTTGAAAATGTGTTGCCATTCGATAGAATATGGCCTCACTGACAGAAAATAAATGGAAGATGAAAATGTCATCTTTCATTGAATATAGATTAAAAATGTTTTAGATGTATATGTACACCATGCAGATACTTTTATGTACACAGACAGTATGTTTCCTTTCTGGACATCTTGCTTTTGTGTAGAAAAAAATTAATAGAGCAAATAGGGTTTCTGTGGCTGTTCAGTTCTTTGATAGGACACCTACTTTTCCATTAGACAGCCAAGATTTATAAGCAAGGGTCAATTTGGTGCAGTATTAACTGACAGCAGTCCTGAACTACACATCAGTGGAGATGACCTAAGGAAAGAATAAACAGTTGTTACCTATGTGATCCCAGCCAAAGTATGCGCAAACCATTCAGGTTTAACTTACTGGTTAGAACCATAGCAAAAGGATGGTGTTATGCTATCACAGAGCAATTTAAACTTAAAAATACACACTGAATTTCCAAATGAACACACTATACAGCCAACATCATACAGCAACAGAACTGCATGTAAAGGGCACATAGACACGACAGGTGAAATCTTGAATACATGGAAGTCCATGGCAAAACTCCCACTGACTTCAACAGGGCCAAGATTTAACCCTATATGCCTGTATTCCCCCCCTGAACTGAATCCTCAGCTTAGCTTCCCCTCTACTTCCACATTCAACTCCGGTTCGGCTCTCTTTCAAAATGTTCTGTTAATCTGTCCAACTGGTATGTCTCTGACTCAACTCTCAGGGTCATTTCTGATTAATATTCATCCCAAGCTGCTATCTGCAAGGCCTGGGTTCAGTGTGTAAGTTTCTCCCTCAACCCTACCGCCAACAGCTTTGCCATGCCATGTAGAGGAAGGTTTTAGTTCATAAATTGAGGGATACAAGGGAATGTACCCAGAACTGGTTTGGGTATTTAGCCTCAATAAGGTTCAAATTATCCCCCCCAAATACTCTTAGCTGACTCAAAGCAGCTTGAATCCACAATAAGGGGTATTGGAGTATACCTGGCAAATACAGCGCCATCACTTGATCTTACTCGTGGTGGGATTGTGTCCAGGGAGCTGGGGGGTTTCCTCTTGTGGTTCATTTGGGGGAAGTTTCTGAACTGGCCCTGTTCTCTCTTCTATCCCCCTCGTACTCCATTTTTTCTGCCCAGGCTTCTTTTCTGAACCTTTTCACTGTTTTGTCCACTGCCGATATTCTGCCTCTTATGGGGTTTGTATTTTGGGAAGAGACTTTTGCATGGTGTACACCAAGCTTCCTTCCACCGCTGCTTTCAGAAAATCGTCTGAGCACCCACCTGCTCCATGAAGCAATCTGGCCATAATGTGCCATGCTGTGTTCTGTACCTAATGCACCTTTGGATTGTAAACTCCTTGGAGTAGGCACCTGTTGCTTGTGTGGCACCATTTACCTAGCTATTGTGCAGTGGTATTTAGGTTAGTATTGCTGTATCAATAACACTTATAGACAAAGTCACAAAATAAGACATGCCACCCTTGACACAGGAGCACATGCTGTTCCTTTAGCATTCATTATTCGTGGTCACAGTCATATAGATTGATCCTGATAACAGCCTGAAGAGAACAGTTGTGTGTCAGCCCATGCTTTGCTTAGTACTTTGATGATGCTGAGATTGGAAGAGAATTACCACCCAATGAGTGGCTCTTCCTTGCCTTGTGTTGGTTGGCAAGAGTTTGGCTGTCATCTTTCATTTTCCTCTTCATAAGCGGGGTTGAGGGTGAAAGAAGCTGAAGAAAATCCCATTAACCGTTAATTCATACATATTTGACTAAATCACACCTAACAGATACCCAGTACTCTAACCATTGAGATTACTTATTTATGCAAACATATCCAGTTTTACTGTTACCTTCTCCCTTATTCCACTTCATCCCCATTTGTCTATTCAATCTGCCTGCTATACGTATTATGGTAGTGCCTGAGAGCCCTAGTTGTGAACTGGACTCCCATTGTGCGAGGTGCTGTACAAACATTGATAAAAGAGATGGTCCCTGCCCCTAAAGGATTTACAATCGAAGTAATACCTGTTGCATTTTGTCATAATCTAGACTCTGAGCTTTCTAGGGCTGCAACTGTCTTTATTTCACTCATTTGTATAGTGTCTAGCACAATAGGGCCCCAGTCACTGATTGAGGCATCTAGGCACCGATGCAATATAACAATACAAAGACAAATTTATTGAATTCCTCTTTTTAAAATAAGATACTTGAAATACAAATACCTAATCAAAATTTATTTTCAATTTTCTGAAAGATCACTTAGAGCTGAAACATTGATTTTGTGTGACCCCAATCACAGGTGAAATACAAAAGCAGGTCTATGTAACTGCTGTCTGGTGGCTTCCTATAAAAGTGCAAGGCTGTGATTTTAAAAAAGCTGGGTCCAGGGATAGGTGCACAACTCATATTGAGTTGTAGGTGAGAATTGGGCACCTAATTTCCTTAGATTCCTCTGAAAATCCCAGACCTATACAAAGTGTAGAGTCTCCTGTTACTGTACACAAACTGTGTATATGGAGTATACAGTGCATGCTTTATGGACACTGAAATCCACAACATTTCAGCTGGCTTCCTAAAAGAGGATGCTGTTGTGTCTGAGACCATTTCTTGGAGGTGTCTGGTTTTGTTTTTCTTATTCCACTGGAGAGGGCCACTTAATACAGGT